CCAGCTTTCTGGCCATCACTGCCCAGTCTCTAACTGGTAGCAAGAACAGGATTTCCAAGGCCTTCCTTTTAATTCCTGTGTTGATGGAGTTAGGCTGCAGGGCCTTTTAGCTCATGCATCTCAGCAAGGTCTTCTCCCAAGCTGATAATCTAAAGTTGGTCAACATTTTTCTGCCATTTTTTGGTTAGAAAATGCTGGTTTGTCAAAAGCAGAAATTTTGTATGAGAGGGCACCAGCTTCACAAAATTTTTATTAGGAAATGTTTACCACCACCTGGAATTTTTCTGCTCAAAACATGAGACAGCCAATCCCCACTACACCCACTTTCCTGAGTAGTCAGCATCCTGGTGGACAACACACACTTATAGGAAATCTGGGTCCAGTTGCCTGGTCTGAATTGCGCAGTGGGTTGAATTTGTACCATGGAGCTATTGCCTGTTCTGGCATAGCTGTCTCTCTGGGGTTTGGTGGAAAACTTCAATTTTGTTATGAGGTGGCGTGGGGAAATGGATGAAATTTTGAATAGCTTCATGGGATGGGCAATCTGTTTCCTTCTCAGTTCCATCACTTTACTGTGGTTTCACTTCACTGCCTGCGAGCCAGATCCTTTCTTGTCTTGCTGCATTTTCCTCTTCATTTTCTGCTCCTAGTCTTGGTCATATGAACACCTGGAGTCTGATTCTTTTTTCATTCATGCTGATGTTAATAGGAAGGACATTTGTTCAAATTACTTTAGCAAGGAACAGTCAGAAAGCTACTTAATTGGCCCCTGGGATGGGAAGTGGCATGGAGTTGCCATGTTCCTGTTGTACCCTCTCTAATTTACCTGTGAGAAGCACATAGCCACCAATTGTGTGTGGTTAACTTGAGGCACCTAAGGTCAGATGAGCAGCTGTGCCGTGTGCTTTAAACTACAGCAGAGGCCAGTGTGAGATGTGGATTTTAGTGCCCTTTGCAAAGTTGTCTAGAGGGGTGATCTTAGCATCAGGACTCAAGAGCTCTTGGTCTCAGCTTCTGGCTCTGTGGTGTGGCCTCAGTCCATTCATTGTCTTTCCCCATCTGTAAAATTAGATGATCATGCTGTTACCTCGCAGTGGAGGTATGTTCACTGCTACTTAAAGCTCTTGGGAGGAGAGCTGAGCTGTGGTCAGTGCAGGAGATGAGGCAGGGGCCACTCACTGACTGATTAGAATGAAGTAAATTGAGCTCTGCACTTCCTGCACGTGGAATGCATGTAGGTGCAAAACTAGCCATATGGTCCTGCAGTTAAGGCTGCATCATCATGCATACGGGAAAGACAGGGCTTGCATGAGGATTCTGGGCACCACGATTCAGACACTTCCTCACCTCAGAGCATTTGGCATTTCAATGTCCAGCTGTTTTTTAATGTTTGTGGCATCCCTTTGTGCAACTAGATACAGCTCAGCCTTGAGAGCCATGCCCTAGGATCCTACTCAGCCAGCCATTCCAGCTGGAAACACTTCCAGGTCTCTCTCTTTTCATCTCCTGATCCTGAGCTGGTTTTGTCTTTTTGCCTCTTGGTTCCAACCGCTTCAGCTGTGCAGTGCTGTGGAGCCAGAGTAGACGTGCTGAAGTTCCATGCATGTCCAATCCTCTGAGTTACTCTGTCATATCCTCCTGCTTCACCTGTGTCCTCCAAGCATCCCATAAAAAGTCACCAGGATTAATACTAGAGTGAATAGAAATAGTCCCAAGGACAACTGCTCTTCTGCAGGGTGGGACCAATGGCAATGGAACCAGGGTGTGCAATGAGGGGTTTCCTTCTGTTGCTTCTGTTTTCCTGGACTGTGGAGGTTTTTGCCTTCCTCTGTAGTGTGGGGCTTTTTCCTTTTCCTAAGATCTTCTGAGCAGGTGTTAACTAACTCTCTCCCTGTCATTGCAGTGGCAAGCCATTGGCATTGCCCTCATCTGCCATGATTTTACCTGTGGCATGTTTTAGGCTGTTCTTAGTATTTCAGATTGTGTGCCTTTGTAGCTGCGAGTGAGGGGATGAAGGGGTGATTTCAGGGATTTCTTTGATTAACCTCTGTGAATGCAGGGAGTCTGTGAATGCAGGGACTGAATTGATAGCCCAAGAGGCCATTTTCAGTCCTATGCTTCTGTACAGAGGCAGGGATGTCTGTTCTCCTTGTCCTTGGCTCTGATTGCAGCCCTCTTACCTTTTTCAGGACTGTCTTTCTGTGCATCCCTTTGAGATATATCAGTTCTTTGAACAGCAGTCTCTGGAGCGGCCCTCAATTAGCTGCCTGAACTGTCAATGAAACGGGCAGCATTTGGCCAAGTTATGAGGGAAGCAATGGATCCTGAAAGGCTTTGGGAGTTCCAATTATTCCGTCTGCCCCTTCCACAAGTGCCTAGCATTGTCAGGCAAGCATCTCCAACCCATGCCTACTGGAAGCAGCAGCTTGCTGAGATCTGGGTGCGCAGGAGCTTCGTGGCTCAGCGTCCCTATTAGTAGATTGTATGCTTCTGCAGGGTGAGTCTATACAAATGACATTCACAGTCCCCTCTTAATGAGCCCTGGCAGCATCAAGTCCTCATCTTCATCTTCTTTTCTGTCTTGGACATCACCATGATAGGACATGGCCTCCCACCTTGAGCCAGAGAGTAAGCAAGAAGTAGAGTATGGGACCCAGGGCTCTACCTGTACAGGAAGGAGGAGGGGCAGGGATGTTTGCATGCAGGGGTCAGACTGTCCTAAGCTTTGTTGCAGTGGTCAGTTAGGGAGAGCTCCCTCCCCATTCCCTGTCTGAAAGCTGGCTGGGGTCTTCTCTTAGGGTTTTCATGACTGGGTTGTAAATAGAAGTGTCCCGCTCGCAGCTCATACCCTGGAGCTTTGTTTCTTTTATTGCAGGCTTATTCTCTTGCTGTCCTTTCTCTTCTCCTGGGCTACTAGTACTTCCCTGTTGGGAAGGACTTGGGCTGGGAAACCATAATGAGAGGGAGGTTCTGCTCCCTCAGCAGAGGCTGCAGGGGTTTGTTTTGGGAAATCTCTCCTTGTGTCTTCAGCATCTCCAGTGCACTAGGTCCTTCTGTGGTTAGATAGGAATCCAATGGGGGAAGCTCTCATGATATCCAATTTAAACCTACCTTGCTACAACATCAAGCCATTGGTCCATGTCCAAATCTGCAGCAAGAGAGAGAAAATGCCCAATCTGGCTAGTAGCCATTGCACTCAGAGGCTTGTGGGGGAGCTGAGCACCTAGGGAGGCACAAGGAACCTGAGAGGAACCTGGCATCCAGGGATGCTTTGTTTACAGCCAAGCTTTCCTGGCTGGCCTTATGGCTTGTGTGTACAGCAGAGAGATCCCCCCAGATCTGGCTCCAGCAGGTGCTTGTGCTGAGCAGGTCTTTCTAGGGGCACCTCTGGACTGACTGCTTGACAGAGCTGGGCTGCAGTAGGGACACAGCAGAGAGCTTGGTGCTGTGATGATCTGGCAGGCTCAGTTGAGCATTGCACATTGATGGTTTCAAGGTCAGAGAGGAAGGGAGGGAGGCAGGGAAGACACGTGGGAATGGGATGCTGCAGTCACACACAGTGCATGTATTGATTTAGAACAGGAAAAGCTGCTCCATAGGTGCTGAAGAAAGGGGACCCAGCATGGCCTCTATCTCAGCCTAGCTCCCTGCTTTGCCTGCCTAGGCTCCTATTTCAGGAGAGAAGTAGGAGCACTGTTGTTTCAGCCAAGTGTTCATGCGTGGAACACCACTACTCCGTCTCCTGGGGGAGGCATTGGAATTTAATAAGAAACCCGCGGAGGGGAACCAGGGTAGAAGGTGTGGGAGCTTGGAGAGCCCCGGGAACTGTGACCTCATTTTTGGTGCAGCCTCCCCAGTTAATTCTTTCAGTCAGATTTTGCCTCCAGCACTGGTGCCACTAATGTCTGTGTCATTGTCTCTAACCGGGCAGGATTCCAAAGGGCAGCTCAGAACAGACCAGGGCCCTTCGCACAAGTCAGTTTATTAAAGGGCATGTGCTGTTCCAGCACTTACCAGTGAGTCAGGAAAAGCTGCAGCTGATATGAGTCCAAGCATCTAATGTGAGGATCCCCCATGAGACCAAGTGAAGGTGGCAGAGAGGTGGTGTTGCGTACCTGCTCTCCTTCCCCCACTGGCTCTCTCTCCTATGGAATAGACGGAGTTTGGGGCTCTTGTCTGGGCCAATTCTCTGGCTGTAGTTGGGGCAGTTTGTGAGAAATGCTGGTGTCTAATTTTGGGGTTCAGTGAGAGCTGCTCTTACACCCCTGGTGCCCACAGAGGCTTGGTGCAGCTGTCCTGAGGCAGAGCCAGGGAAACAAGATGTCTGGGGAAGAAGCAGCCTGTACTAGCACTGGCTTCACTTTAGCAAAGTCTACTGAGTCAGGCTTAGGGTGAGCCCTGGGGAATCTGGTATTATTGGCATCAGGTATGACTCCCCCACACAGTTCAGCCATGGTGTTTTGGATGAATGATTCAGGTTGAGGCCATTTTGTCTAGGCAGAGTTGGGATCAAAGCAGCAAGAATGAGACAAAAAGCAGAACTGCTGTACAGATAATATCATAGAAACATAAAATCATAGAGAAGTCAGGCTGGAAGGGGCCTCCAGAAGCCATCTAGTCCAACTCCCTGCCTGAATCATCTAGTCATCCCTATCCAGACAATTTTACACAAATCCAAAATCCAACCTTTCATAAAAACTATTGTCAATCCTGACGCAAGACATAACACTAGTGCTCCTTATGGTGCATGTGATTGACAATCTCCTCACCTGCCCTGTTATCAGCCATTGTGCCTGTGCTGTACCCTACCTGTGTATATCAGGGACTTGTCCAAGATACACTGGCTGGGTGCAGAGCAGGGTGCTTGGGTCTGAATGGGCTCCCCTGAGGTCTTCTCTCCCTATGTGGGGACCTAATGTTGAAACACCATTGCAAACCTCTGAGGGCTTTGTGTGGCCAGGGTGGCTCTGAGCTGTGAGGGGAATGACTGGGTGGTTCCTAACTGTCTTTAGGATGCACCAAACTCCTCAACACAGTTTCCTTTTATTCCTTTGCAATCTCCCAGCTTCCTGGGGATGTTGTCATCAAAAGAAGTCACTCTCAGCTGGGAACGGAAATGAGAGTGAATGCAGACCCCGCTCATCAGGTTGGCATTGCTGTTTGTTTGCCTGCAGTAGTCTTCTGTGCCAAATATGCGCTCTGTGTGCTACTAGCATGTATAGCTAAACAGCACTGACATCCTTTTGTGGTCCCCAGCCGTTTGCAGGGTTTCATCCATTCCTCCAGCAGCAGAGGTGGGAGGGAGCTGCACTGGTCCAGGAGCAATTTGGACAGGGAGATGGGGGAGGTTTTTGCCTAGAATACAGAAAGTTTGCTAGGGGCTGCCAGGGTAAGCAGCAATTACAGCTACTTCTGCCTCCTGCCATTCCATCCTCCATCACACAACAGTACATGTATAAACCCAGTGACAAACAGGAACTGGCATGGATAGGCCGCATCAGCCTGGCCTTGCTGCCTAAGATGGCTCACACTGGGGAACAGCTCTGCGGGTAGGTCTGCTCGGTGCCTGGGGAGCGTAAGATCAACCTGGAGCTTGCTTCTGTTCTTAACCTCTCTGTAGCATCATGCACATACCCTGGGCACATAGACAGGCTGAACCAGACAAATTGATGTATACACCCTGATGGACACACAAGCTATAGCATGCTTCTGCTGCATGAGTGCATGGTAGGCAGTCAAGGGCCTGCTCAGATATGCTGCAAGGGGAGAGGATGCCCTTTTCTCCCAGTCCTTCAACTGACAGGCTCATGACTCTTTGTCAAGACAGCTACGATTTGGCAGCAAGAGAGTGGAGCTGCCTAATGTTACTTACAGTGCTCATGACCTTATAGTTGAGGAAGGGGGTGCCTTGGATATACCCTTGTACAACATGTGCCATTCTTCCTCCCTGTCCAACATACTGAGGGCTTTATAGCTCTTGGCACTGCTGCCCACAGCACTGCATCTCCTCCCACCCCAGCTTGGCAGTCCCAGGGGAGATGGAATCTGGCCCACGTCTGTACCTGGGACACATTTAGCAGTATGTGTATGGGTGCACCTGTGATGGGGGAGCCAGTTCTGACATGTGTCCTGGTGGAGGTTCCCCAGCCACCTTTGTTCTCGACTGCTTTTCATCTTCTTCTCTTTCTCTTTGCTTTGGTTTCCTTCTCTGTCCTTTCCCTGCATTCTCTCATTCTCACCTGCCTCTTGGCCCCTGGCACACACCCTATACCCTAAACACAGGCAGCGGAGTTGGAAGGGGCTATGGTTCCTGAAGACTCAGAGGAGGCCCAACTTTATACAGTAGGGCAAGCCTTCTCTGCTACCTTGGGAGAAGGTGCGAGTCCCTGCTCTCCAGAGTGCAAGGGTGCAGCTGAGATGCACATGGAGCAGCCAGTAAGAGTCCAACCTATAACTCAAGGTGCATGGAATTGTCTCTGCCCTGGCTTTCCCCACACTGGCCCACTAATAGGACTCCCAGCACCTCCCCCCTGCCAACCCTGAGCTTCCTGCCCATGGGTGAGACAGAGACCTTACTGCTTGCTGACCCTCCCCTGAGCCTTCTCAAGGCTTTCCTAGTGCTCCTTATGGTGCATGTGATTGACAACTGATTCTGGGTGCCTGTAATACTGAAGAATTAAATGGAGTGGGGATGGAGACATTAGGTATCAAGAGAAGCTAAGCCTTAAGAGTCTACAATTCAATGTGACCTAAAAATCCAACAGCACAGGTGGGAGTGGGGACAGGAGCTGTATGGTGGGGCAGATGAGCCCTGGTCAGATTCACTCAGGCTGCACTCATTTAAAAAGAGCTTTCTCCCTCTCTGTCCTGTGCTCTGCTCCCTGCTCTCACCTCCTGCCTCTCTCCTTCCTGCGCCCCTGTTCTCTTGCTCAGATAAAGCGCTTCCTGAAAGAAGACTCGGAGGAGGCTGAGCTGGCCCAGTTTCTGAAGGAGTTCCCTTCAGGCGAGAGCCTTAGGAAAATGGAGCCAGAGGAGGGCAAGAGGGACCAGGGCCAAGGCCACATAGATACCAGCCCCTTCTCCAGTGTAGTCAGGGCCACTGCGGACGACCTGCTGGATGAGAAGGAACTGAAGCCCTTCTCCCAGCCACAGCCCCTGGATTTGCAGCAGCGCATCATGGCTCCAACACCAGCAAGCCCCTCGCGGCCTAGAAGCCCTTGGGGCAAACTCGACCCGTATGATTCCTCTGAGGTACAGTACATCACAGGGCAGGCCTGAGCCAGGCCTATTGCTGGATGAGGAGTCTCTGCCTCTGGGTTGATGGGAAATAGGCATATAATGTGGCCTGTTGGTGGAAGGAGCTGTCCAGTCATCACTGTTGGAGGTGCCAGGGAGGAAGCACTCCTACCCCAGCAGCAGTGGCCCTTTGATGGGTCCCTAGATCCCACTGTGGCAGATGCAAGACTTGGGTCTGCGTGATGAGGGCAGTCTTGGATCTCTCTGTGTGAACTTCGCCGGAGTTTGAAGGCATTTTGCCTGTCCTAGAGCTGGGTCTGGAATGCCCAGGACAGGGGGCTGGGTGACAGTGGTCTTGCACTCCCCTGCATCCAAGTACCCTCGGACACCCTGCTCTGCCCATTCCCTTGGCAAAGGGTGGGCTTGCCTGCCCCTCCCCTGAAGTGCTCTCTGGCAGGGAGGGTGCTGGCAGCTGAAGTCTGGGGGACCTGCGCAGGCATATTGTGACCTGCATTGTTTCAAGAAACTCCAGCATAAAAAGGGGCATCCTGGCATATGCTGCAGTGGAGAGATTTGGGCTCAGTCTGCCCTGGAGCAGCAGTTACAAGTTTCAATGTAGGCTCCATCCTGGCATCACAAGCTTAGGATGCCCTTAGCCATACTTCTCTGCTGCATGCAGAGGTCTGGGGGGCCCTGGTTTGCTTTGGGCTTTGGTGACAAGGGCTTAGATGTAGCCGGGGCCTACTTGAGGGGTGACAGAGTAGTTGCTTAACCCAGTGCCAGCCAGCAGGCAAGACTGCATTCGGCTACCCTTGTGCACCTATGGTATGAGGTGGGACTGAGACATAGGTAGGGGGGTATGAGGGCATGGGACAGTTCTCTGGATTAATGTATTCCCTCTGCATCTCCCCATGACAGGATGATAAAGAGTATGTGGGGTTTGCAACACTCCCCAATCAAGTCCATCGAAAGTCGGTGAAGAAGGGGTTTGACTTCACACTTATGGTGACAGGTAGGCACAGCCCAAGGCCCCTCACACAATGAGGGACAGGGCTTACTGCATGCTGATCTGGGACAGGAGGCTGTGAGGGCCTGGGAAGGCGGTGTTTGCTGCTGCTTGCTGGACAAGCAAGCTTCAGCGTGGATACTGGATAGGTGTTGATCCCACAGGGTTCAGGGCCTTGTTACATGGTAATTTTAGCCAGCTCCGGGAGTTCATAGCCCCTGGATTTTCTGCACATTAACACCTGAAACTGGTTTTAAGCACTTGTTATGCAGCTCTAAGTTACACCACTCCAGGGCAGGATGATCTCTGATCCGTTATATCCATCTTGTGTGACGCTAAGTTCCAGCCACACTAGGCTACACCTTAGTGTAAATACCCCACTCACTCCCTCTGCCACTGGCCCGGATCAGGCCGACTGCCCACATCACCAATGCTGCCCCTGGTGCTGCTGTCCTCTCAGTCAAAAGAGCAGCAGCAGCCTAGCAACAGTAGAGGCTGGGCAGGTGATTTAACCCTTCCCTGCCTATGCCTCTGGGATAGACAGTGCAGGCAGCCACAAGCAAGTAATGTGCTAGGCAGGGAGGAGTTGTGGAGGAGCCCTGGGTTGGGGGTGGGGAGCACAAGGGGGAAGCCAGGAATGGGAGACGGGTAATCTTATCTTTCAGTCCTCCAGGCACCTGCTGGCCTGCAGTGTAACTGCTCCAAACTCAAGCTAGCACTAACATCCATCAACATTTGTGCCACTTATGGTGTAAGGTGTAACAAGGCCCTCCGAGATGGCAGAGTGGACTTCTTAGGGTGACAACACTGTATGCATTCACTCGGTGGAACTCAGGTTCTCCCAGGGGCTTCAGTGGTCAAAAGAACTGGAAGGGGCCTCAGAGTCTGTTGCCATTCCTCCTTTCTATAAGCCTTGGATTGCATGGGACTGGCTGTGCTAATGTGCTGATTATCCATGGTTCTGCCGCTGCTTTGGTCCTGAGGCTGATGTTGTCTGAGTGGGAGGCCCAGTGGTTCCCAGATACACGTCTGAGCCATGTTTCTGGTATGGTGCTACAGCTCTGAAACACTCCACTCCTGCTCCTGATGAAAGATGTGCAAACCTAACCTCTGCCCCCACAGCTTTCCACCAAGCACCACTTGACTAGCTACTGATCTCCATTAACTGTTGCTTTTCTGCTTTGCCCTAGGGGAATCTGGGCTGGGAAAATCCACCCTCGTGAACAGCCTCTTCCTCACAGACATGTATAAGGATCGCAAACACCTTAATGCAGAAGGTAAGAGGAGAAGTCAAAGCCTTCCCAGAGGTGGGTCCCTCCCCTATCCCTGCCAGCTGGGGCCCTATCACAAATGGTCAAAGGGGGATGCATAAGGACAAGGAGGCTGTTCTGCCAGCAGGGGGCACTCCAGGGCTAATCCAGATAGAGTATCTCATCGTCATTTAGTCGCCACATCCACACAAGCAGCCGACTGCACAGTTGTACTTGCCACAAGTGCTTAAGTAAGTACTAAAAAACTGTGCAGTAACCGGAGTTACTGTGCAGTCCCAACACCACATGGCTATTTTTAATGGCTAAGGTGCATTAGCAATGAGCTACTGCATAGTACCTCATTGGTACTGCACAGTAGCGTCAGCTTCACAGTTCATGCCCGGCGATTCTATGTCACTGTAGCAGTGAGTTATGGCACAGTAATTCATCGGTATGGTGATGTAACGTCTTATGTAGACATGTCCAGTAATTGTGAGCAGAGATCCTGGTTTTCTCTGTTTTAAAATTGCAAATTTGCTAATAAAAATCCAAAATATTCTGATTTAAAAAACCAAAATCCATGTTTTTCCAGAATTAAAATGATTATAGGTATCAGTTGAACACAATGCTTTCTTGATATATTTACAATTTTAAAGCAATTTGGAAGTCTACTGGTGCCTCAATCATTATCATAAAAAGATTCAAAATACCTATGTATCTTGGTGATTTAATTTTGTTTTTTTATCATAAAAAATCAGAGCTCCCTCTGCCCCTTCATTCACCAAGATGCAAGTCCAGCTGCAGTTGTCCCTCTGCTGTTTTGTGGAGCTGAGCATCCCTGACATGCTGGTGCCCTGCCCCTGTCCATTCCATTGGCCCTCACTCCCAAACCATGTCCCCCTGGTCCTGCCAGTGACCCTCACAGCCCCGCAACCCTGCTGGTGCCCCTCACTCATGACCCACAGCCCCCTGCTCCGCTGGCTCTGCCAGAGAGGGGGCACAGCTGCCAGGGCTATGGGAACAGGGCCAGGGCCTGCAGCCCCCCTGCCACCTCCAAGTAGTGCCCAAGCCCCACCTGCCACCTGTGGGAAGCGGCAGCTGCTATATCTGGAGCAGACCAGAGAGCCCAACTCCCCCTTTCCCCTCTCCCCTGCCAGAGGCACCACAGCCAGAGTGGAGGCTGTGGAGCACTGGCAATGTGTAGGGGGTGCACATGGGTGCATGTGCACCCCCTGAGATTGGCGGTGCACCCCCTGAAAAAAGCGCCGCTGACGCCTGTGGGTGGTTGCCACTTGCCACCCAACACCCCTTGCCACCAATACTGCCGGTGGCATCTGTGGGTGGTCCCTGGTCACTGCTGGCCACCGCCAACACTGCCGGTGGCGTCGGCGGGTGGTTGCCTCCTGCCTGCCCAGCAGCAGCTGCGGTGGTGGTGACGGCACAGAGTTGTGCCTCCCACTACTGCCAGGCAAGCAGGAGGCACCTCACCATAGCAATACAGCTGGTGTGGGGCCTTGGCAGTGGCACCAAGCCTCCCTGTCCTGCTCTGCCTTCCTGCACCGGATCTCACCCACTGGGCTATGGAGGCCCTGATGAAGAGGGCAGCAGGGTGGGGAGCCCTGAGCCTGCAGTGGGCAGCCTGCATCTACCCCCGCCGTCATACTGCACACGAGTCTGAGGGGCATGTGCCTCTCCGTAGCCCCCTCCTCAGAAGTGTGTGCAACACTGGGGAAACAGTTGCTCCCTGCTGCCTCCTGGATGAGCCATGCATGGCTTTGTCCTGCACCCTGGCCAGGCCCCACAGCTGCACATTCCCATCCTGGCCCCAGACCCCATGCACCGCCCCAGATGGGCAGCGCTCCCAGCCACACTTCTGCCACACTCCCTCCCTCCCTCCCTGTGGGGGCCTCAATCTGCTCTTCCCCAGTCCCCTCATAGACTTACCTGGACAGAGATGCTCTCCACATCGTCTGGCTGCCATGTGTGTGTGTGTGCACACTCATGCACATGGCACCCGCTGCCTAGTTGCCCTCCTCCTGCTCCCTCCAGGCCCAAGCAGCCCCTTGCAGGCTGGAACTCTGCTAGCATGCAAGGAGAAACCTGCTGTTTCCTGCTTTTTTCTCCTTTAAAGGAGAAAACCTGCATTTTTCTGTAGCAAATGGAAAACCCAAATCCCTGGTTATGAGGTTACAGTCTATTGATCTGAATGTTAGAAAAGGGCTGACCGACTTATCTGTTTTCTCTGGGATGATGGAGCAAAGAGAGGCTGCTCATGTTGGAGCCAGATAGTGTGTATGTATGTGGTCTAGTGTATATTGATCAGTGTAGTTCTGCTGAAGGTGCCAGTCTAAAGCTTCTTCAAGTTGAACATTAAAAAGCCCAGGGATGTGTATTAACAACCAGATGGTATGCTGTTGTAGAGATCTTCCTGGAAGAGAATTCCCTTGCAAAAGGTGAGAACAAGAAAATATTTTATAAGTTAATACCTACTGAACTTGATTCTGGTCCTGTTGGAGTCAAAGCAAAGCTCTTCTTCAGGTCAGTGTAAGTATGAAATCTATACATAATCCTCAGTAGACAAGTCTGAGAATGAAGATTCATAATTTTACTGGACACTAAAAGCTGTGGACTTAACACAGCAATTGGTTTCATTGGCTCAATACAATTATGCACTCCCTCTGTTAACCTCTCTGTGTTCCACAGGTAGCAATGACTCTTTCCTGTGGTTTTATTTTTTTGCATAATTAGATACATCTCTTTCAGCTGCTCTTCGCTGGGTCTGTAACCACTTCTGATAACCTTTCTTTGTTCTTCAGGCTTACTACATGCTTCCTTTGTTCACACTGGCCAGTTTCATGTACATAATAGAGTTAAACAAAAGTCACTGTTCTGACTGGTGTTTAGCTGAGCCCGGGTACCAGGATCTGCTGCTTTCCCTGACTTGAGGAAGGGCATATTGTGCCCAAAAGCTTATATCTCATCTCTCCCAGCTACAGAGTTGGTTCAATAAAAGACATCCTCAAACAAACCATGGCTTTAGTGTAAGTAGGATCAGGTGCTCAGGAAAGTAAAGGATTTGGCCAGCAGGTGTTTTTCATATTCTGCTGTCACACACAAAGTGGCAGTAGTCTTGGTCTGTGCATTGCTGCCGGCATGCATAGGCCCCAGTTTGCCCAACCCTTCCTCTCCTTTCCCCCATGTTGCTAGGTTAGAAGGACATGAGCTTGGAAAGTGGTATGGTGTTTGTTTGCTTCCTGACAGTATTGCCTGGAATACTGTGTTTTGTCCAGCTCTCCTGGGGTGGCCTCAGTGTCTCCAGACGCAGTTAGAATGCACTGCTGTTATTCCACTAGTCGCGCCTTCCGGGCTCTTGGCAGGCAGTTTATCTCCTGCTTTAGTATTCAGCAGGCCCATGGGCAGGGTGCCTGTTTAGTGCTCTGATTATCATGATTCCTGGCTTTTTAAATTGCTTGTCTCCTTACACTACCACTTGACTAATCAGTCTGTTCATGATCTCTCTCCACTCCCAGCAAGAAGTCCCCAGTTCTCCATTTTTCTCTTTTTACTTCTGGTCTTAAATAAAGGTTAAGTTCCACCCCCTCATCTGCATTCAGTGACTTTCCACATTATCAGACCTAAACATTGTCCCCTCCTTTCCTAGCAGCTTTGCTCCCTTGGACCAAGAGTGACTGACACAAGAAAGGCTTTGCCTTGGGACTGCAAAGTCCTAGGAGGACAAGCTGGAACTTAGATGAACCCAAAGCAAAGCTTTTGATCCAAATGCCTATCAGTTTTGTGGAATGCAGGCCTGGGTCTACAGTGAGGTCTGCACCTGACCTCCCAGATCTTGACAAGCAATCCAACCCCCACACATGCTCGGATCCCACTTAGAGGCTTTGTCCACATGAGGTTGCAGTGGTTTATCTCAAATGGGTTTTAAACTCGTATAGTGAAATATGTGCAACCCCTCTATGTTTAAGAACAGGTTATTTCAGTTTGCACAGGTCAGAAACAAAGCAAAGCCAAATTGCAATAAGTCACTCTTCAGGTGAAATAAGTGTAGCCACATGGGGGTTTGTACTGATGTAAAGCCACACTTTTCCTGAAAACAGCATTGTTTTTTCATGTCAACATAGCTGGAGAGTTTGGGGCTCACATCCATCCCGCATATTAGGACACACAGAGAAAGCTTTTTTCACAAAAAGATGGATGATTAAAAGCCCCTGTTTAGCTTGCCTTGAAAGTCTGCAATTTCAGGAGAGAAGTGGCTTCAAAACTGGAAACATGGTAGTGAGCTCTATACTTGATCAAAAAAGGGGGAAGAATTAAACAAAAATTCTCCAAAATTTTCCTTTAAAAATGATGTAAATGTTAACTTGAAAAAAATCCTCCAAGCTCTAATGACCATGTCTATGAATGCTGAATGCTTCATAGGTTTCAGTTGGAATGATTAGCCAGCCTCTCAAATATTCATTCCTGGGAGTGTGTCAGTCAGGTTTCAGACTGGATGGTCTAAGAGTGAGATTACATATTAGAGTAAGCATGTGCTAATTCTACAGAATGTTAGTCTTTGTTACGGTGACTTAGTGCTAGTGATGATCAGTCACACATTCAGGACTGATACCCTCTCTAATGTACACTGCTGAAACCTGTTGCTACAGGCTGGTGAGCCGGGGTATAGCTAGGGACTGAAAGTCTGCTCTATGCCTGCCCTGCTTACCAGTTCCCTAGCCACAGTGTAGGCCAGGGAGGAGTGGGGGGAAGGGCCCCCCCTGTACCACTTGGATCACTTCTGCCATCTCCCAAATCACTCTGCTTCCCTCCTTCAACAACCAGATCCCCCTTCCACCCTGTGATTGGGTCCCTTCACCTCCAGATCTCCCCCAACACCCACCTATTCGACCCCTGAGCTCCTGGATCACTGTCCCTTCACCCCAATCAGCCCAAGAGCAGCTGTGGCAGCAACCGGTGGCAGGGGAGAGGGGTCCTCCTCCCTGCCAGCTCCTGGGCTCCTTGCAGCTCATGTT